TTTTCGATCGTACTAACTTCCTTGCAGAACACCTAATTAAAAAACGACTACATCCTGCAGAAATTATGTAGCAATAATAAGGCACGCAAGAAAATGTTGATTAAGCGGTTCTACTAGGAGAACGCGAACGCGATTTATCGTCGCTGATCTTTGCCATAAATGATAATATAACATTGCACACGTCCCGAGCCTCCGGGTAGTTTTAATCTATCCAGCCGAAGCTGATGTATTAATTGCACGCGATTGTGACTTATAATCGTTCCCAGCCGCTTTATCCGCGCATCGGTTCCATCGTGCTCCGGGGTTTTATTAGCCGACTTAATGAAAGTGTCCGAATGCGCGAACGAGAATTTCCAGGAGCGAACAAGCGTGAAGAAGAGCTCTGGGCTACCTTTTCCCAGGATCCTGCGGAGCCCTGAGGATCGCTCGAGCATGGAGATGAGAGAGTGGACGGAGGCGAGCCGATCGTAGCCGGAAAAAATCGGCATATCTGCATAAACCGGCACGAAGATCAGAGGAAAAGATTGCGCGGTTTTTTTCGCATAACTTTGTACCGTTCAGCCGTGACCGACGCGACGCCCAGGACGACGACGACGAGGACGACGACGGCGACGACGACGACGAGGAGGAGGAGAAGCCGTTACGGTGCATACACGCGAAACACGTGGACGAATAGTCGAGTACTTGAATGACCGTAGCTCGATGCGCGTGCACGATAAGTATTATGCGAACTAGCATGAAGCGTAGAAGCGATTCGCAGGTCGTTGGGCGATCCCCCTCGAGCGATACCTGATAAGATTGGGTGGAACAAGTCACCGCGGAGAAATCCGAGGAAAAGGGTGGATGGAAAGTTATAATCTTGGGGCCGGAGCGACGGCGTGTAGAAAGTGAAATCGGCTTGATGGGCGCGGAGATTAAATTTACTTGCTGTTGAAATATTACTTATTAATAATATACGGAGTCCCTCGCAGGTCTTTCTCCCGGTCACTTTATGCGTCTTAAGAACATGGAACGTAGCGATCACGTGAAACATTTTTGTCTGTAATAATTCTCAGTATTTTAAATGCCATCCGTAAAATGAAAAATGGATAAACAATCGAAGTGAAGACGGTAGAAGACGTTGGTGAGACGAGGCTGAAGTAGCCGGGAGGCATTTTATTCTTTCTGAGTTTTCGACGATGACCTCCCAACGTTGTCCCGAATTCCAAAGACAATGGGTCCCCTCCAGGGCAACCGAGGGAGGTCGGCCCGATCCTCGCCGTATCCTTGCACTCTCTCTCTGCCTCCCCGCGTTACATAATATTGAAACGACCTTGCGTTCCGTCATACCACCTGCAGGCAGGACTGCACACGTACGCTCGGTGCGCAACTTCCGCTCGGGAACCCTCTCTCCGCGTCTCTCACCCTTCATTTCCCACTCTTCGTTCACCCCGCGTCTCCCCCGTTCTTCGCGATCTCGTCTTCTTCGGCTCGATTCGACCTTTCCGTTCCACGAGACGCCTCGCGCCTGCATTCTGCTTCCCGCGTCTTTTTCTTCTCTTACGACTATTTTTGCTTTCGCCAGAAGAAAAAGGGGCCGGTGGATGAATAGAAGGCAGCGGAACCGAGCAGGAGGAGGACGCTAGCAACAGGTTTTGGCGGACAAACAGGAGACCGGGAGAGTCGCGAGTCAAGACGTACGATTCACTTTTATCCGGCTCTTCTCTCTTTTCTTTTTTTTTCTTACTCTCCTGACTCCGTTGCGGACGTGGCGCGAATCAAAACACTCCCGATACGGACGCGGCGCCGATTATCCGGCGGAAAGAGGGAGTCTAAGACTCGATCCATAGGAACTGGGATCCGAGATATTCAATCGCGTTCATTACACGGTTTATCCGACATAATTGAATATAAATTTAATACAGAAATAAATGTATTTCCGAGGGTACCAAGGAAATTATTTCCCGATATAATCTACGCTTTCGATTTATCGTCTAGAATTTTCAATGCAACCCCAGAAAACTTTTAATTTCTCAAAGAGAAATCGTAGAAAGCTCTCGGAGCGAAAAAGATCTTATGGAAACACCACGAATCCACATTCCGTGCAGCGAGACTGCGTTGGATTATTTATTACGTCATTAATCAATCAGGTTTTTTTCACGCCGCGCCGTAAAGAGCGAGCAGATGCAATATGGAAACGAATGTAAATCGTAAAAGGCACTATGTACGTTACTACTACCGGCGAGATGCGTTCACGTTGTAACCGTGAAATGGCTCTCAGCAGCCGGTACGAAAGTCCATAAAACGAAATTGTTGCAGCTTCCTAGTGCACTTCTGGCACCGACTCGCGAGGGAGACGCGCGAAATCTAACGCGTTACATCGATTGCAATTGTTTAACGATCGACGTTACGAGCCTACTCAACTTTTACGGTCTCGAATAAATCGCAAGGACGTTGCATTATTTATAACCGTCGGCACGCAGTGATAACAGAGATTAAATGTTTCAAACCCTGTAAAGAATATCGTATAAGAAGACGGGAGAGGAATTAAGGACAGAATTTGTATTCCAGATGTCAATTTATTATCCAATTTCCAAAGAACTTCATGACTTTCCCAACACTTTGATTCTGCTTAAACTCCTCGAAGCAACGATAAAAATTGCATCCAACTGTTATCACGAGCATCTTAAGTATCGAATCTCTTTTTCTCCTGGCCCATTGGCGAATGCACTCAAATAAACGAACCCTGCCGAGATTTCATCCGGTCAGATAGGACACGCACCCGCCGACACCTGCTAACGGTACTTTCATAGCGAGCGCGACAATTTTGTACTTTATCGCGCGCACCCGGTTTACTGGCGATCGTCATCCGAGGACTTTACAATGTCTGGTTTACGGACTCGACTTCAACCCCCGAACCGGCCGTCCGTCTCTACCCTTCGTCCAGCTTCTCCTATCTTTTCGCACGTTCCGCGGGCTAGGGGTGCTCGTGTTTCCGGTTTACGATGTAGGTCATGCAAGCCTGGATATAGACACACGCGTAAAAACGAAACGGTCGATGTAAAATTGTAACAACCGGTGATGTGAAACGGCCAGACGAAGAGGAGAATAAACTTCGTTACAACGTTACGACTGTGATGCAGTTACTTTTATGTGCACGCAGATTTATAGAATTTCAGAGATCGTTACCGACTCTCATCTACATAATCGACCCTTTCCATCTTGTGACAAATGCAAACAATGTCTCGACGAACATTTTTTACCCAAGTGAAAAGCTTTTTAACACGATGTAACTAAGATTTAAGGACGAGAGTCTGTACAATAACGTGCCACCATGATTGAAGAAGAAAATCCCACGTACTACAATGTTTCCACTTTTCGCATAACGAATCACTATGTACAGCACGTTCGTTTACCATCCGTAAAATTGCTTCCTGTATTTACAAGACAGCAGAGACGGAGTCAGTGGTGAAATATATTAATTACTTCGCACTCGTTAGCGTGTACGTGCGCGTTAGCCACGGTCTGCGTCATGATCATACGTTCGCAGCAGCCGACCGGGAGCCAAGGTATTTTACGGACAAAAACTCGGCGCGGAAGAGAAACGACGTTCACTGAAGCGAGGATCGCGACGCGGTAGGAAACGCGAAGGGGGGTCGCAGACAAATTCGCCAGAAAAACGTCGGACATCACAGGGATAAAGATACAAGCAAATTATCAGGGACGCGTCGAGGCACACGGTACACACAGCCGAGAAGAGAACGACGCACGCGGCAGCGTCTCTTTCTACCCTTAATCCACCCCCACGGTGTACGTGTGACCCCTCCTTAAACGCGGGGGCGTGCAATAGAGCATACGATGCGTCTAGACAAAATAATGATTTGGATTTCAATACATTTGCATTCATTACCCGAGGGCACCTCTCTTCTCTCGCCCCCCGGTCTCATTCCCGTTTTCTCGTCCCTACCCCTCGCCCTCGCGACGATCCCCTCTACTATTCCGTTTCATGTCTCGCAGAGTTACGCTCGTTATCATACGAATGCTCTGCTCGTGCCGTCGGCGCTCGTTTCGTCGCCCGTCGAAATGCGATGCGGCCGGACGAGCGACCAGCGCCGGCCGCATCGCAGCCAGGACCAGTTTTCGCCGTCTGGCTTTCGCACACGCGTTTATCTTATACACGTACACTGATCTATGTCCCTGGCGCGCCGGGGTGTACCGTACATCGGATGGGTCAGTCGGAGGGTGGCGCGGAAACGGCAGAGGGCAATCCGTAGTTTTTTAACGCGTCGCGTCGCGTGAAAAAGGCGAACGAGGCCGGATCGCAACGGAGATCGTCAGAGTAACGACCGGTCGAGCAATCAACCCCCGCGTATGCGTTCCCCGTATGCACCTTTTGCATTGGACACACATGCTACGGCGACCGATGCCGTCGCGTCGATCCAGCGAAACGGGGAACGTCCCGTGCACGCAATTGACGATTGACGTCACCGGGATCGCGGCCGCACTAACACGCGCCCGGAGACAGACGTTTTCCGTCGATGCGTCGCGTCACGCCGTTCGCAATTTGTATCGCCAGCATCTGGCGTCTGGCGAACAATGAAGACGAAACGGCGGAGACCTCGAATTGATCGCGACGAAACGTCCGCGCTTTGAACATTTTTATATCCGCGTTTCATATGATAAACGAGAATTTTAGAAAGCTTTCGTTGTTAAGAAAAATGCTTCGATACGATGAATGAATTTATATTTACCTTCATTTTTTAAGTATATTTAAATGGTTTGTTTAATTGATGACATTTTTTTAAATTATGTTTCACTTAAGATGAAATTTCTTTCGCTAATTTATAAAATCAATAAATTGATTGAAATATTCTAATTAATTGTAATTTTATTTCTCTTTAATAAATTTATTTATATCAATTATGTTATATATCTACTACCGTCTAGCACTTACGTGTAGCACATTTATCATGCAATTAAACGAAAAATGAATGACAATGGGTGAAAGACTGAAGACTCACCGGTTCAGTTCGTCCATCTCCTTCCTTGCCCAATGATTGTCCCTCAGACCAGCCCATTTTCGACAGTAGCTTAAATCCTTTATTGTCCTTAGCTATCCGTCTGTAAAAAGAAAAATGGAAAATTTATTCTACTTTTAATTAATCATAGAACAAGACATCGACATTTTTATTTTAAGGAATGATCCACTTACGTATCCATAGAGCTGTGTTGCGTTTTGGCATGATGATTTAACGAACCGATGGACTGTCTTCGGCTCTGCGCTCTATCTTGATATCCCGATGCTAATTGACTAGCAGCCGCGACGTTATCTTTCTCCACGCCGAACTTAAATTTCAGTCGTCTCAATTCTTGCTTGTGCTGCTCCTTTTTGCAAATTTTGTTTTCCTCCACGTTACTGATTTGCTGGACGAGACCCGGTTCACAGTGACCGCAGGTTTCGTTGCCATTGTGTATGTGACACAACAGTTTCGTGGTACCGACTTGTACAATCGAACCGTGCGAAACTTCGTGAGGTTCGGATTCCTGCTTCGCCACTGACAGCCTTTTACCATTCAGAAACGTTCCATTTCTCGAACCCAGATCCGTGATCTTGTATATTTTCTTATCCTCGTCGTACGCAAATCTGGCATGATGCTGTACAAGATTTTTTCTTAACGTTTCGTATTTCATTCTTAGGCACATGAACGTTCAGTTTTTTCATTACTTACTTTACTGATATTTATATCTGGAATTAATACGGAATGATCGCCTTCTCGACCAAGTGAACCGCCTGTATAAGGGACTATGAAGAGACTTCCGACCCTCAGCTTTGGTAAATCAGTTTCTTTAACTATGATTCTCATACATGGTGGGTATGGTTTTGCTAGATCTGCATTAAAAATTATGTTTTAGAAAATGAATTAATGCTTCGAACGTTATTTTTACATGTCTTTGTAATATTAAATTAATATGCATGGCAACAATAAAATACAAAAATAATAA